CAATGGAAGGCAATAACGAAATGTCGAAAGCTTAAATGAGATTCGGTAAGCACATGGTATAAAAATTCTTTATCCTATTTTAGATTCACAAAGCCCTATGAGATCGGGTGGAAAGCAGTATCAAGAGGGAGTGTGAGTAAGATCCTGGCTGTGTGTCAAGCAGTGGAGTACCTAGGATTTCCGTTTGGGGGGGGGGGAGGAGACAAAGCGAAGAATCATCGCGTCAACGCGAAAGTCAATTGCTATCGTTTCATAACCGATCGCGTCAAGTTGAGAAATGGTTCTGTTAATCAATTTCAGCTTCCTCTTTTTTGCGTGCTTGCTTTTGCTCGTTCTTGCATTTCTATTCATCAACACTGGTATTTCTTTTTCATCATGATCATCTCCAAATCTTAAGTGAGTTTGACTGCTGCGAAATATGAGGTTTCGTTTCGGCTAAAAAGATGTTAAACCATCTTTTTAACCGACAGGGACCTTGCGCTAATAATATAGATAAAGACCGAGGCGTCGTTTCATGAGTCTACACACTTACCACTGCGTTATGCGTTCGAGTTGTTTGTAGGTGGTCGGAATGTATTTATGACGCGCAGCGGCCCCACGGTGGAATGGAGGGTCACAACGATCGGAGACCGATAAGCTGATACCGAAGGCGGATATGTAACCAGCCTTTCATGGAGTGTTCGAGGGTATAAGGCTTTCTGGAATTGGGTACTTCGAATTTTGACCGCTTCCTTGTGTGACAGCGAAGGTACGGCAAAAAGGATTTCAATCCTTATTCTTGCGATTGATGAGCTTCTACCATAGTTCATGCGGTCCGTGTATCAAATTGATTTCAAAACCAGCTTGCTCGCATGGTCGTCTTTCGCCCAGTTGTCATTCAACCTTATTGGTAATTACTCGTGGGAATAATGGGAACAACCAGCTGATATTTACTTACTTAGATACTTACAAGCGAAGCGTGTTTAGTCGAAGTAGCCTTTCCACGTCACCTATATCACTTTGTAGAGCATTGAACGGCTACTTCAAATGCGTCTTCTTTGTCTGCCAAGCACCTCTGGAAGATGAGTTACGAGCGTTTTTTTTTTGTCGAATGATTGAATGCGCAACTGAGAAAAGATCGCTTGGTATTGCTCAAATGCTCAGGTGATAATTATCAAAACACTTTATTCAATGATTACCTTCTATTTCATACCCACACACTCAGCACTGTTCTAATTCAAAGCAAGAAGGATTGTAACCATTACTTTTGCATATTTTTTGCGTTCAAATTTTGCTAAAAAACGCTCATAACTTGGCGTTTAGAAGTTCTTGGCACATAATAAAAGCATATTTGGAATCTGCATTCAGTGCTCTTTGAGCTTATATAAGACTCAACTGGAAAGGTTACTTCGACTGGACACGCCTCCCTTGTTAGATGGCCCGTCTTCACGTGACGTGCGTGCCTTCGCACGGAAGTTGCCAGTGATCACCCTTCGCAGGCATCCACGCTCTTCTTGGTTGTCGTCGGTGGCGTTATTCTCATGATGTGACCGGCCCAGTTTCGCTTTTGCAACGTATTCCGCTGGGTCACGAAGACGAGACATTCTTCTCAAATCCGTACTGCGAAGTCCAAGAAGATGATGTTTGTGTCGGCTCATCTTCGGAAGACTGCGCTGAGCGCTCTGTGGGTGGTCGGTACAGCTTTCGACGTGGCTACAGTATCGGCCCAAGTCTCAGCTGACTAACAGATCGCCGGGAGAACGGTTGAGTCGAACGGGTGGGCACGAGGTGCCGGGTCCATCAGTTGTTCGGTTGCTTCCTTCGGAGGCTCAACGGCAGCACAGGCTGCTCTTCTCCTCCTGTTAAGTCTTCTTTAATGTCGTTCTTCATGTTCACCATACTCCGAGGTCTACGTAAGAAAACATCTCCATTACGAGGGGGGGGAGATGCTTTTCAATTCCATTTCTGCATTTTCGCTTAGGGCGCTCTTCATGAACTGAGTCTTCTTTCGTTTAACTCACAATCCGATTTTCTTCTACTTCGTTTAGTTCCTTCAGCATCGTCCCCGCTTCAGTGACACTGCTCGAAACGATGTCGTCCACAAAACGAAGATTTCCCAGAGATCACTCACCAACCCGTATGCCTCTCCGTCTCAGTCCAGTGACTTCATCACCCACTGCAGGGCCACGGTGAGCAGAATCGGCTAGGTCGCCTAGCCAAACCCCTTCATAATTGGGATTGTCAGTTGGAGATGGAACAACTGCATCGTCGTTGCAAGCCCTTGCAGCAACCATCTGACGTCCTCACGTACGCTGGATCCACTCCTTGATTGACTAGCCTTGTCGGGATGGCGTTGGTTTCGACGCTGTCCGCTTCTCGCATTCAATGAAGGTGAGGACGAGAAGATGTCGGTATTCCCAGCAGACTCGAAATGTCTGAATGTGGTGAATGCAGCTTTTTCATGGGGTTGGGCTTCATCCAGGTCCTAGATATGCGAGCGAGAATAATCTTCGTAAAAAGCTTGTAAACACACTTAGCAGGCATATTGGGCAGTCCCAAAGATCCTCCCGTTCGCCCTTTTTGAGGAGAAGAACGGGTTTGAAGTATTCCACTGGTTGGAAATCCTGTCCTGAAGATAAGATACAAGAATCTCTTGTAGACTTTGTCCTCCTGCTCGCAGAAGTTCGGAAAGTTGCTCTGGTTCTAAAACCGTGGACGTCTTTATGATTCAAATCGCGGTGCGCATTTCAGCAGGTAAAATTCGTGGTGGTACTTCTCCAGTGGGAACAACGGGCATCGGCACGGGCGATGATGAGCGGAAGAGGTTGGTGTAGAAGTTTTCGTGATAGATTTCATCTTGTATCGGGAAGAAGTCGGAGTCCTGTCTTCGTTCAAGTGCCGCCAGCGGAACACGATATCTACAGAGGCCTCTTCTTCACTTCTTAAAGGCAGTGTCCGGGCAAAAACTCGATTCTGAGATTTTGTGCTTACTTGGGCCTATTCGCTACGCTGAATCCGAAAATGCACATTGTAGAGCGCGAAAATGGCGAAAAACGGCTTTAACGCAGGATGGAAATGAGCAGGTGGGCGGGGTCCTCCCCGCTGCGAATTCACGTTCCCGGCTTCTGGAGCGACCTTCTTGCTTCCGGTTTCAAGTCGATCATTCGCACTTGGCCGGTAGTGATGTTAGGACGGCTAGCGGAATCGAGAAAATCGCTCCGGGAGCTGGGAGCGTGAAATCGCACTGGGGAAAGCCCCGCCCACCTGCGGATTTCCCTCCTGTGTTAGAGCCCTTTTTCGCCGTTTTCGCGCTTTCCAATGTGGATTTTCGGATTCAGCATAGCGAATAGGCCCAGGTAAGCACAAAATCTCAAAATCGAGTTTTTGCCCGGACACTGCCTTTAAGAGCTCGTTTTCCTTCTGCTGGTGGTATTTTGGCTTGCCTGTACTTCCTGAGATCCTCTTGCAAAGCTGTTCTGCAACTGGCGCGGCTATCAATCGCTCGAGATGGGTTGCATTCGGATCTTGCCTCAGAAGTCTTCTTCTTTCTATTAATTTCTCGGCAATCTTCGAAATGCGTTCCAAGTTCTTCTTGGGAGTCATTGAGAAGCACTCTCCGTATGCTCGCAATCCTTTCAGGAACCGATCATAGTCGTACGCTGGGTCCTTCATGGGCAAGTCGCAGCTTGATATGAGCTCTTCCAACCTATTACCGTCATAAACGACTTCCCTCTTTCTTGCAAAACGTAAAAGATAACAGACCTTCTTTTCTGGCTTTCACCTAAACCGCATCTTCGCTCGAAGGAGGCGGTGATCGGAGCCACTGCAGAAGGATGGCACTATAGAAAAATCGAGCAAGCTTCACCTTCGGTTGGTAAGAATGTGGTCGATCGCTTGAGTCGTTCCGTTGGACGATTCCCATGTCCACCGGCGATGTTCTTTCTTCATGAGGATGGAATTTTCATGGGAAAACCGTTGGCGGAGAGAAGCCTATCATGACGGTAGCGTTTTCGTTCAGGAGTCCATTTCCAGACTTCCCGATCATGTATTCATTTTCTAGTGGCATTCCAATTTTCGCGTTGAATTCCCCCACAACGAACTTGTAGGGGGCTCTCATTGCGGACGACCTCCTTCTCGTTTTCGTAATAGGAATCTAGTTCTGAGTCGTCAGCTGATGTTGGCGAGTAGCAGTTGATAATGCTGATGATCTTCTAGCGTGGAGGTCGTAGTCGTAGGATGGCTAATCGAGGTGATGGATCTCGTGCGAACCGGCGAGATGGACGATAAATGGATGAAAGACAAAGTCAATCTCTCCAATGTTTCTCAATGGAACCTTCTCACCACGAATGTCTTCCATCACTCATCTGTCGCACGTTGACGGCCCGTCGCATGTTCTTCATAACACTTCATCTTCAATAGTGCACTTGACGGTCCCGGATGGGCCTCTTCCTTTTCCGTTGCTTGCATCATGAGATATTCAGTGGATGTGTACGATGGAGTCCGGGGTGTAAATGCCGGTTGCCGCCATTTTCCCTTGTTTTTGACAGTCTGAACTGCCCTTCAACGATTTCATTAATTGTATCACCATCTTCTCCAAAATCAGGGGCTTGTTCTATTACGCATTTCCTCACAGGAGATAGCTGATTGGGCTCTGAACAGCAGGCTTATGGGAGGAGACTTCAACTGCCTGTTCCGCATGCTGCTCATGAGTTTATATGCAAGCTTTTAATGAAGGCAAGGAGTCCATTTCCTAGTCATCTTTCTTAGCAAATGCTAGAAGGCTTTTACGCCGTAGTCAAACTTATCCTCCTCCTGGGGTGCTCCATGTAGATTTGCGACTAACCCGCCGTATTTCTGGAAAGATTAGTGGTAATGAGCAACGCAACAAAGTAGGGCAGCTCTTCATATTTAAACAACCGCAAGCCAGAAACAGGCATAGAAGGTTTTTTACATCTTACATATTACAAAGCCATCGCTGTTCGGAATGTGAAAGTAAAATTATCAAATTTTGTTACTTTCAGACAAATATCAAGGGTTCTGGGAAAAAGAAGAAAAGGACCACGTCGCGAGTTATATCAGTACTTGCTTCTCCAGAAAGTAAAGGTGAAACGATTCCTATTGAAAAGAGACCTTCGTTGGTGAGTACCGGGAACCACACGCACAGATCACTGCTTTGGTTACATTTCCAGATCAAAAATATAATAATAATGCATAAAAACCAAAAGTGGTGGATAGACCCTGCCTCTCAGTTTGACACTTTAGCTTCACTTTTTGAAAATTATATGACAAAACCTTTACTCGTTGAAAAGGTGGGTTCTCTGAGGCCTATGAAAGTTCATGGCGTTTTGGTTTTAGGATAGCGTATTGTTGAAACGTGGTGTCGGATTGTGCAGATGGGAATTCAAGCATGCAAATGTACAAGTAGGCCGTCTTCTTGGAAGGGGGGCTTATGGAGAAGTAAGGAAAGGAACTGTCATAAGGAAAAACGGTCAAATTGTGATTGTTGCCGTAAAAACAGTAAGTTATCAATGTAATTAGGCACATCAATGAATCATGACTTATCTACTATAATAACGCGCTAAGGCCGTCTGTTTTTTTGTGTATGTGTCTGTGAAAATCTGTTTGTCACGAAATTCATAGAGGAAGCTGCAACTAAGCTATTAGGCTGCAATTTTGCATAACATACTGTGCCAGCGTGTAGGCCCAACATGCGCAAGGACGAGCCGGTTCGATAAGCTTCAAAATTTGCGCGTCAAACGGGTCCACGCACCTTTTGACACGCAAAACTGGATCGCTAATTCTATTTTTTGCAAAGTTATGGCTTGCCTGACAAGTAACTCTGCGCGCCATGAATTCTAGCCCAAAAGGCGCTTTAGAAAGTTTGCTTTTTTGCGAAAACAGCGCCAAAAATTGATGAACGCATAGACAGTCGATTTGGCAAGGTTTTATTTGAAAAAAACTGAAAAGATTTTTGCACTAATGTAGTTCAAGGTAACTATTATCCTTGATTATCAAACAAAATAAATCCAGTAATCCGTTCAAATTCGCATTTGTTACCTTGTAACAAAGTTTTTTTTTCTCAAAATTACCGATCTTACATGGAGACTTTTACTCTTACTTTTATCAATTTAATCGATTTTTTGCAAAGTTTGAGCTACAGGGCTGAGAGTTGGCACAGGGGGATAAGTGGGCATGCTGATTTCGAAAACAACACAGGGAACGGGAAATGAAGTGTAGAAGTGGGCACAGGGAAGGGCCGTACAGGGACAGAGATGGGAAATTTATTACAGTGTTTTGACAGAGCCGAGCGGAGCCGGTAAGCAAGCTAGTAGATATATAAAGTTGAGTGCTGGTGAATTGTTAGTTACTGTGTTCTTTATAGAAACTTTTGTGTGGACCAAGCAGGGCGAAACTTCGCACACATATGTTTTCGGCACCGGTCCACCCCGTAGGCAACTTTTTGCGGCGAAATTACCACTCCTTCTATTGATTTATCGATACTAAAGACTCTTATCGATTGAACGGGCTAAGGATTTTACATGACTTTGTGTGTGTGTGTGTGTGTGTGTGTGTGTGTGTGTGTGTGTGTGTGTGTGTGTGTGTGTGTGTGTGTGTGTGTGTGTGTGTGTGTGTGTGTGTGTGTGTGTGTGTGTGTGTGTGTGTGTGTGTGTGTGTGTGTGTGTGTGTGTGTGTGTGTGTGTGTGTGTGTGTGTGTGTGTGTGTGTGTGTGTACGTCTCATTTATGTAAAGGCTACTGCGTGACGAAGGTGCAGGAGCATTATTAGTTGAGCGGGCGCGCATGTCCTCAGCGTTGCTTTTCGCCTCTTGCGCTCTGCGGCTTATAAAGCCGCGTTCGCGCCCAAAGATCCCAAAGAAAATACCCCTTTGTCGTGCAGCGGTCTATGACCTACAGACGGCGCTGTGCGTGCACCAATTGAGCTCAAGCTATGCACACATATGTTTTCGACCCCGCACAGATCATGAGCTACTTTCGTAACGGTTCCGAACCCTTTTACTGAATTATAGATTTGTTCACTTATAAAGGCATTGTTAAAACAAGTGGCCAATAAACAAGCAGCCTACCATTTGAGGCAGAAAAGAACGCTGACTTCAAGTATCTGTTATTCTTACTTGCTAAACGCTTTTGTAGGCGAGGTTATAAGCACTCTTATTGGGAGAGAATTGCACAAAAAATGGGAATTTGAGCACATTGTCGCCCCTTTGACTCATTTCTAGTTCTGGTTTACATGAAGTAACCTTGGTTTATGTTTTGGCCCAGCATTGAGCCGAAAACTGCTTTGCACGATCATATCTTGACTTTGCACGCACAATTTCTTACAAAAGAAGTCCGTTTAGTTGAAGTAGCCTTTTCACATGTAACTAATACGACTCTGAAGAGGATACGCTAATTCCAAATCTGTCTTCGTTATCTGCCAAGCGCCTTTGGACGTTGAGTTATGAACGTTTTTGGATTAAATAATTGAAAGCTCAATTAGAACAATATTTGTCAGAACTGCTCAAATGGTCCATCAGACACTTCATTCAAATACACCTTCATAACACTCATACTTGACACTGCTTTATTTGAACGCTGAAAAGACCGTAATGATTGATTTTACCTAGATTATGCGTTCGTTTTTTCGCACCAAAAAACAGTTGTAATTCGGCATGCAGGGGAGCTTGGCAGATAATGAAATCAGATTTGGAATCAGCGTTTGATACTCTCCAATGGTGTAGGACTCTTCTGAAAAGGCCAGTTCAACTAAACGGACCTCCTTTGTTAGCGAAATAATTGCCTTCAATGGCGCATAGCCACAAAAGTGTTTAGCAGAGAAAGCAGACGTTTTCAGAGTCAACGATTTATGCTGCATCTCAAAGTATGCACTTGCTTGGAATGGGCACTTGAACCTTTGACCATTCCCCTGTTAGCTTTAGGAAAATAGAAGCTTATCATGCTTCGGTCAGGAATTCTCCCAGCTCACGAGCCACAGCAGCGCTAGGTGCTGCTTTAAAATCGGGGCAGGGTAAGAAGGGACAGGAGCAAAGATGAAGAAGCAAAACAAGGATTCACCGGAAGGTAAATTCTGGGAAACCCGAGGGAAAATATTGTTCACTGGGTCAATTTGACCCACGGTAATTTTTTGTTCAAAAACCGCTTGTATCACATCCAGATTACGTGAGGAATTACATACTCTGCAAAAAATCAAGTTGCACAATCTCGCCAAATGTATGAGTTCTGCAAATAGCATTCTGCGAGATATTCACAAGACATATCAAGAGATGTGCTTACTCCAAGAGCGGCTTCAACTATTATTCTCCTCTTGTCAAAAGTCAATTGCTGGGAGAAGTTTAAAAGAGACCCTCAAAATCAAAGCGGAACTGCCGTTTAGCTTTAGCTGTTGGTGCGTACTTATCGGATAGATGCGCAATTCTTACATCAGATTTTGAAAATCCGTTACTTTCTTCAGCCTCAATGAAATCTTCATAATTGGTAATAATAAAGAGAAGATACTGCACTTTCCGCATTGTTTGCGTCTTTGTTAGCATATTGCATCGATGCAAACTAACCAGAAAGCTAAAATCATTTCTGGCCTTGGTTTCATGACCTGCTCTTTTCAACTGGGAAGAAGCTGGTAACGATTGGATGTCTCCCACTTGATTGTAGAATTGATTTATTCTCTTTTCTCCTTATACAGGGTGTCCCAAAAAATGTGCCTACTGTTTGATTGCTAATAACTCTCTTATAATGAAGTCTTTCGATAAATTTTAGGTACCGTTTTGTAGAGCTGGCTTCAACTTAGACTTACAGTATAGAGTGAAACTGACTGCTCTTCATTACTGTAGGACTACGTTGGACACTTCAAGCACATCTCATTGTGAAAAAAATTGCCTTTTCAAAAATTGAAAAAAATAATGAAAACTGGTGTTATAATGAAAACTGGACTGATAAAACCCGTTTCATGGACGCTGATATCAATACTCAATTACGTAAAGGACTGCGAATCCTTTTAAACGGTTTAACCGCATAACTTTTCAATGAAGCATTATGATAAGCTGTGAACTTCACATTTAGAATCAGCAACTCTAATAAGCACAGTGTGAGAGTTTTCAGCTTGTTTTGTTTTCTTTCCGAGGCAAAATAATGTCTTCCAAGGCTCAAAACCCTCTTCGCGCTTCCTACCGTAATCCTACACCAACGATAAAAGATTGAGGATTCGCTCCATATTGTAAATATAAGTCAAAGCCAGCTCTGCAAAATGGTACCTAAAGCTTTTCGAAAGGCTTCATTACAAGAGAGTTGTTCACAACAAATAATAGGCACATCTTTTTGGGACACCCTGTATATTTAGAGCTGAAATGTGTGTATCTGTCTGTCTGTCTGCCTGTCTATACGTATGTTCCTGATAGAAATTATAATTTTTGAGCCGATCCAAACCAAACTCTGTGTGCCTACACTTTGGGGTGGGGCGGGTGTCATAAGCTACTTTCGATAGGGATTTTATCTATTCTTGCAAAGTTTGAGCTATGGGTTAGGAGTTGTCACCAGGGGTATGTGAGCATGTTGATTACGAGAATATTATTGAAAGGGCCAGGCGGAACCGGGTTTGCCAGCTATTGTGTTTCAGTTCCGAAGCAACATTTTGCGCTGCGACTTGGGTATTGGCTTTATAGGGGCCCTATTGTCATATGCTGCCAAAAGCTCAAGACCCTCAACTTAGGATGGACGGTGCCTTAAGCATTCTCAAGCAGTTATTCTTCTATATTTGGTGCAAAAATTGTGCGTCAATCTTATACGAAAAACTCATAACTAACATATGAAAAATAAAGGATGAAGAATTTGGATGGCGGTCGTCTAATCGTCTCTCTCGATGTGCATGCGCCAAACGTGCTTTGCATCATAGTCAAAAGACTGCTGAGTGCGAACTTTGCACTGTACTTGCGTGACAAATTATAAGGAGATAAATGCTTTGTGCTGTTAAGATTCGTACGTCCCTGGAACCGAGGGCCTAGCTCAAGCGCGCATCGAATTTTAATATAAAGTCAAATATACCCTGCGCCAATTGTTTGCCACAGAAATAGGCATTGCAAAACAGGGAGGCTTAAAAACTTCAAATATCGTAACATATTCAGTATCACTATATCAGTATGTGATAATTTAGCTCACATTAACAAGTGTTCTGACAAGAGAGTTGATCAGAGAAATCATGAAGGAAGCAAGAACTATGCGGGATTTGCATCACCCTAACGTGGTATCTATGATAGGAGTTGTGCTTGTCGACCATCCGTTGTACATATTGCTGGAATACGTCTCTGGTAAGACACCAGTTATATTTAATACCAAGCAACATTCTTGTCCGACAAGCCCTTCTATATCCACAGTTAAGTTTTTATCACACACTATATGTTATTGCACGCCCGGTGCAGCACCTTACTTGTATTTTCAAGAATTATCAAATTCTTGGTATTTTCTTCTTTCTTCTTCAAGAACATGGATAGGATTGATTTGCAAATGACTGCGGCGTTCATTGATTGACTAATCTCATACATAAAGTTGATTACTAGGAACTCAAACCTTAGGGACCAGCCATACTTCGCCGATAAAAGCCCAAAAGCGCCCAAAAAGCTTAAAAGCGCCAGAAAGACATCGATCTTTGTTTCTCTTGCAACTTTTATTTGAGTTCTAACATTACTCTGGATACGCAGACAATTCAAAATGAAGCAAAAAGACTCGTTTGCGAAACCAACGCACATGCACTAGCCCCACAGCTTATGCGCCGAAGGGGGCGTTCTGGCTCTTTCTGGCGCTTTTGGGCTTTTCTGGACTTTTTTGAATGCTTTTGGGCTTTTTCGGCGAGGTATGACGGGTTCCCAAGTATCCAAATAGCTATACTAGTTTTTACTACTTTTGACGGGGGGCAGTTCCTTTTTGCAGAGCATGTTGTCCGCGATGTTCAGGAGATAGGGACACACCAAGGATCGAAAATCTTTGAATTGTAATCAAACCTTTATGACATCGAAGCACGGTAGAAAATAAGCATAACCGCGCCAAATATTCCGATTGAGTCAAGCGCCAAGCCAGTGAAAGAGGAACGTTGTTGAGACATTAGCGCGGATTTACATTTCATTAAGCCTGCGGTCAATTCCCACGAACAGTTTTTTAGAATCATTACACAAATTTCACAGTTGTTCAACACATTCAAGACAAGGCCGATTTTTCGATTACTGCCGTTTCGGACCAGAGCCTTTTTCGCTTTGTCAAACTTACGACCACCCGTGGGTCGTATTGTCCGTAATGGTAGTCTTTTTGGAAGAAACTCAAAACATGTCTCCGAGAATTTCCCCACAAGGGTTATCAGAGGCGCTGATTACCAGAATATGATTTATTTCAGTTTTTGGCAGTATACGTCAAGGTTACGGTACCGTGCGAACCTAATATCATGGATTTTCATGAAGAATTGTGTTTTGGGGTTATTCACATGCTGATCACGATTATAGTGTCCACTTTGTTCATTACTTTCCCGCAGTGGGGCAACAGTAGCAGTACGGTAGAATTTTTGCGAGAATCAAGAAACTGGTGGAAAATACGGTAATTAGAACTTGAGACTATCATTTTCGTAACCAGCATGCTAAAAAATCTATATATGTAAGGTTTGACTTTCTGGGATGAAAAATGCGAAAAATCAATAAAATCAATAAAATCGATCATTTTTGATGGACTGACATCAGCCTCGTGCCTTACCTGTATTTCTTGTGCATGTAAACTTGAACTTTTGAAAACAGCACCACTCTGCGAAAAATGTGAGCTAAAGTTTGTGCCTTTACCTCTATCTACGGTATACCTACCGTAACATTACATTACAGTATACCGAAGCCGGACCACTCTAGCTGGAGCTTCGCCAAGGTGTCCCCAATCACGTGCCAGAATCCCGTAGAATTCCATTATATACTGACAAAGCTATAGCTTCGGGAATCTTACGATCCACCGGTGGGTCGCATTGTCCGAAGTGGCAGAACACGTACGACCCACCGGCGGGTCGTACTGTCGTGAATGTGTTAAGTATGAGCTTGAGGTGCAAAATCGTTAGGTGACTCGCGCTGATTAGTAGAGGTCTAAAAAATTTCTATATTCATCTTCTAGGTGTGTTACGCTAAGGCATACTGAAGTATCTATTGTACATACTTCAGTAAATATCGACATTCAACGCATGCAACAAAGCAGTCATCCTGTCGTAGAATGATGTAGATCTACTAACAATACAGGAGGAGGTAATAAGAGGAGAGCAGCATCTCAAAGAGATGATAGAGCATATAACCATATTATCTTGATGAAAAATTTTCGCTTTTCTCAATAAGGCGCTATATGTCACGTTTCCAAAAACTCTCTTCCCAATGCTGGTTGATGTTAGGACCTAAGTGGAGACCTAGTAGTAGTTTTGCTGCTAAATCTCTTCATCGGTCACTATAATGATTCATAGAAATAACAAGCTTAAAGTAAGCATTTTCTTTATAGCTTTTTTTCTTTATATAAGGACAACTAAAATATTTTCCGTCTGGCCATTCCATTACAATTCGCCTACCAAATTTCTCAAAAACTCTTCTAGGTGGCGCGCTCGATGTTTACCTGCGACGAAAACGTGCGAAGATAACAAAATCAGAAAGGCTTTCTATGGCAGACAATGTAGCACAGGGGATGGAATATATCCATAAGTCGAATGTCATCCATAGAGATCTTGCCGCTCGAAATTGTTTGTACGACAGGAACAACACGGTACGACAGTTATTTCTAACAGACTTTACGTTGCAACTTGGCGTGCGAGTAAGACAGTTGTGAAAACCATTATATCTTACGCTTTATTCGATGGACCGTTAATGTCTGTTAATAGACAAGTAAAGGATATTCGTTGACGACAGCCCCGTTTCGTGCATTTACAACATTGCGGGCGTGCTTTTTTGAAGCCTTTCCAGCTTTACAGTATGCTACAGCGCGCAGGGAATTCGCAGCTCGCAGCATCACTGTCCTTTAACCTCTTCCGCATTCCTCATCTTTTTTTCCTTTTTAATCTTCAGTTCAGGCAGCATTTGCTCATCAGTTACTCGTTCTCCTTTTCTTTGGGTTGTCTCGGTCGAGCATCCTACAAGTTCTGCTTTGATGGGTACTGAAAAAAGCAGGAAAAAAGTTTTGGTACAGTTATCGAATTCATGCTCTCCTTTTTACATACCATAAAAACATTTTAAGAATCGTAAACTATCGTCCCGGCATAGTTAGGGAAAAGAATGTGCTTTCCTCATGAGCAGTGATGGCTATTATGCCTTCTCCTCAAAAGAGACCGCTGAAATGTTTATTTTAGCACACCTACATTTCTCTTTGATGTAGAAGTGCTGATATAGCCACTTCAGCAGTCTGTCTTAAGAAAAAAGGCAAATTATAATGAAACACTGAAGAAAACATTGCACTTCCAATCATAGCCACGATATCCGCCATTGCAACATTGAAGAGAACTCGTTATTCCTTCCGATTCTTTCCGGAGCAATGGTTTTGCGTGTATGAGAATGTGTAACTGCCTAAAATGAAAATTAAGGAGAAAAACGATGTGAGATACTCAAACAACAAAAAGAAGTTAAAGGACGGGCATGCTGTGAGCTGCGGATATCCCGCGAGCTGCTGCTTACTGTAAAGCTGGAAAGTCTTCAAAAAGGTACGCCCGGGATGGTGTAAATGCACGAAACGGGGCTGTCGTCGACGGATATCCTTTAAACAGACCTTCCCTGGGGAGCGTGTTTGTGGCTAAGTAAAAATAAAGCTGGGAATTTCGTACGCAGTTCGACACTAGTCCGACCAACATTAGGCCGTTTCACAAGTCTGAAGCGTTTCCAGTTTTTCCTCATTTCTTTGTATCGAAATATTTTAAATCCAATCTTTTTTCACTAGAAAAAGCTTAACGGTGTATCAGCAATCAAATAATGATGACGTGATGCCCCTGAGTCGATGAGCATGCCAATTTCGCGCAGGAAAATGCCCATAACTCGCTTCGGAACGGTGCGTGGCAGCTAGGAATAGCATATTTGAAATAAGCGTTCAAAGCTGATTCAGAGTACTTTGTCATTTGCCAAAAGTCCGGGCTAAGTTAGGTAGCATCCCTTGTGAGTTAAAAGACGTGTTTCGAAAAAAGTCAATGGAAATGTCGCAGAGTTGAATTTATTCAAAGTGTTCTTTTTTGAAGGAATATACAAGAATCTTTTTTGCTAAAAAACACAATACTTTTTGAAAAATAGACGCGAATGTAGCATAACTTATGCGACATGTGACATAACTCACACGACGGTCGCATGAGTTATGCCACATGTCGCATGAGTGATGCGACGGTCGCTAATGTATGGACATCAGCGTCGCGTGGCCATATCTCGCTTCAGAGTGGAGGAATTTTGAATCCAAACCTTCATTCGATTCAACTCGGCGCGGAGCTTCTGATGTATTGGAAGTGGGGGTACGATGTCTTCGATATTCCGTTTCCAGTTTTCTCAAATTCTTCTGCGGAGGTCCTTTCGCTAGTATGTGAAGCAGCGCCTATCCAACATAGAAGATTCCACTAACGAAATACTGTTCTTGTAGACTATTGTGCACAAAAAAATAGGCTCAGACCTCTTTTCAAAGAAGATAGAAGCGTTGGTGAATTCTGGAAAAATCACGCGTTTTTAAATTCTACTCGCCATAACTTCCTCGGAATAAGTATATTTGAATCCGAAAACAGCGGTGTGCTCAGCCATAAAGGCAAATCTTTTTATTTACAGCATGTCCTTGATATTTCGATTTCAGTATTCGTAAATCTTTCTGCGGACGTCTCTTCGCGAAGGTGTAAAGCAGCAAGCATTGTCCCGAGTGAATGCCAGCAAGGGCCTTTCCACAGTACTTTTTCTGCAGATTATGATGCGCTATATAGTAGCCGCATTTTCTTTTCGAAGGAAAGAGAAGGGCTGGTCAATCGTAAAAAAAATTTGTCGTCCCAAATTCTACTCGCCATAGCCCTAGAATACGAAGCTATCTTGCTAAGCAGATGTCAGTTCCGCAATCAGCAGGTTGGATAACCTCGATGAGCAAGTTGTCCGATATGTTCGGGCTATTTCATTTTTTCTCGTTTTACGCTCTGAAAGCTCGCCGCCGATGGATGTTGGTCAAAATGTTGAGTTTTCGAACACGCTTTTTACGAAAATCGTGGTTTTTGAGGATTACAGGTCTTTTTGGAGAGATACGGTGAGGTACTGTAACTGCATCACGAAAGTGCGTAAATTTGTCCGCACATCTCGCGTACCTGTTAGAAAACTTGCCTGCTTGATTTTCCAAGGCAAAGTTACTAGGAACTGTGCTATCGAGTGCATGACTCAGGCTCCAGTCTACAAATATCGCCGAGTTACGAGTCTACGAAAACAAGTCCTCATGAATTTTGCCCAAAATGTAAAGATCGCAAATTTCGTCGAAATTCCCGTGAGTGCTTGTACAAAGCGCTGATCAAATTTTTTCACATCCTTACCTTGTTGTGTTAGATTCGGCAGTAGAAGATTCGCCTTGATGAGCTGAGCACAGCACTGATGTCAGATTCAAAATATACTTATTCCGAAGGAAGTTATGGCGTAGAATTTAAAACGTGATTTTTCCAGAATTCGCCAACGCTTCTATCTTCTTTGGAAAGAAGTCTGAGCCTATTTTTTTGCGCACAGTAATCTACAAGAACAGTATTTCGTTAGTGGAATCTTCTATGTTGGATAGGCGCTGCTTCACATACTAGCGAAAGGACCTCCGCAGAAGAATTTGAGAAAACTGGAAACGGAATATCGAAGACATCGTACCCCCACTTCCAATACATCAGAAGCTCCGCGCCGAGTTGAATCGAATGGTGCTTTGGATTCAGAATTTGTCCACTCTGAAGCGAGATATGGCCACGCGACGCTGATGTCCATACATAGGCGACCGTCGCATCACTCATGCGACCGTCGCATGAGTTATGCCACATTCGCGTCTATTTTTCAAAAAATGTGAGCGGTATTGTAGCTCCTCAAAGGCTGATCCAGGAGTATCCAACTTTCATTTTATTGTCATTTCCAAGCCTTTTCATGGCCTGGATTCCGCATACTTCGGTTAGTTAAAAGACGTGTATTCTGTGCTCTGCGGATGCGCGAATCGTTGAGAAGCATGACCATGAACAAGCAACAGCAACAAGTAATTCAGTCGCCGCGTCTTCGTCGTACTTCCAGCAAGTCGCGGCGACTAGAAATCGCGACGATGGAATTGCGTGATGTATACCCGGTCCTTAGGGTAAGCCGATTCTGTTTGGACGCGGCCTTTAAGGTTTGTTTGGGAATTATTATAAACGTGTAGATAGCTTCACCAAGAGCAGACTCTTGTTAGTCTAACAGCAAAAGTGCCTCACTTTTGCTTTACCTCATCCTGATATATATGAGTGCAGTCATAAGCTGCGCAAATGACGGAATAGGACGCTCGAAGTAGGGTGGAATTTTTGCTGACAATTGTCAAACTATAAAGCCGTTGTTCTTTGAAAAGTGCTTAACAGAAGTATTTAGGTCAAAATATCGGATTTTGGACTGTCACGAAATGGAACAACATATAGAATGAAAACTGCGCAGAAAATGCCAATAAAATGGATGGCTCCAGAAAGCATAACTACTTATACTTTCACTCAGAAGACAGATGTCTATACTTTTGGGGTACGGTCTCAGACTATTCTCCTCAGCCGTCACACCGCAATACTAATTTTTATTAACGCTGCAATTCAATTCTGTTTATAGACTTACTTTCATCCTACAAAGTTGTTATTTGAGAAATAGTCTTTTGCAATTATCCAAGCTCAAGGAAGGAAAATTCAAACTTACCTACAGGCATCGCTTACTCAAAATTTTTACTTCGATTTTGTCCTTTTTCGCACCTCCTGCTCACGCTGAGTCGAACCTAGGTCTAAAATTGAACGACTCAAATGACTGGGTTTTGGATGCCCTTTAGAATCCATCGTTAAAGGCAGTGTCTAGGAAAATCTGGCGCATAGTTTTTTGCTTGAAAACTGACGAAGGGGTCCTAGTTAAGGCACTGCCCAAGCGGCAGCGCAAATCATTCCGTGGCTGAAATTTTCCCTTAAACACTCCGCGCCTGCGCCGTGACTATGACTCGCGTATAAGTTAGTGTCGGTCCCAGCGCGAACGTAGTTAAAGTGAGCGAAGTCACTTCCGGGTTACGGTCACGGCGGAGGCGTAGAGAGTTTGGAAACGAATTTCTCATCGGTGAATGAATCATTTGCGCTGCCGCTTGAGCAGTACCTTAGTTCTGGCTTCCCTCGTCAGTTTCCAGGCGAAAAACCCATGAGCTCAAATTTGCCTGGACCTGCCTTAACGAGAGCCCTGGCACCTACCGGTCAGCCGCGCGCCAGATGCAGGCCAACCGCAGGACAGAGACGCAGAGCAGTGCTGTGTCACTTAGGGTGCTCTGGGACGAATTGATTGATTTTTTGACCTTTTCGTATACTAGAGGAAATCAGTGGATAGGCGGGCGAACGTACTGCATACAATAGGGTGGAGCCAACGTGGCACATCTGTCTTCCAAAGCAATTTTCTCGCTTCAAAAGCAACTTTAGCTCGAGTACGGCAATTATACAAGTGGAGTTTTCGCTGTGGTTAGGTATGATCTCATTTACACCATTTTGGGTGGGAGATGCCTTTGACAAAAACTCGAAAAACTTAATCTAGGCTTTGATACGTTGTCTTAACTGATTCTGAGGTCAGTAAAACGACTGATCTAGCAATTTCCATAATCAGTCGAGATATTTTTTCAGGTATTAATTTATGAGATATTCTCCGGCACCGGGCCATATGAAGACCTAAGGAACAGCGTCGTCAAGAAAATGGTCAACTGTTTTTGGCTTTTTTGAAGTATAATTTGGACATTAGAAGCAATCCAATTCCAGATAGTCGAAGGAAAGGTGAACCAGTTTCCTAGCAATACTCCTATTGATGTGGTTACATATGTGAACGAGAAACTTTGGTGTAAAGATCCCGAAAAAAGGCCAAATTTTACATCGGTGAGCCTATGCTTTTTCGAATTGATGATTGCTAAACTGGTTCACATTTTCCTGTCTAGATAGTAGAAGCAATTGGTAAACTTTTGGTTGCCCACTCGGAAAAGACTCCAGAAGAGGAAAGAAGCAAAAGCTTAGTATTAGTGAGTTTAAACAATGTTTCCAAAACGCGGCCAAAACATTCTTATGTGAACCGGTCTCGTAAAAAAGTAGCATTCGATTCACATCGTTTCCAGCTGAGTGAGGGGAAAACTACCGCTACAGTTGACATCGAAGTGCCCGCTGGTAGGAAAAAGAAGAGTGCCGCTCGCGCTATGGCAGAGAAAGCGGTAGAAAAATCAACTTCACGAGAAGCTTTGAAAAAGGAAGCAAAAGAAGAAACGAAGAAAACGGAGAAGGCGGCACCTGCTGCAAAGGAGGAGGTCAAAAAAGGCTCTGCTGAGAAATCTACCGCCAAGGAGCCGAAAGTTAAAGCAGAAGATGCTTCATGTTATCTGAAACCTCCAGAGTCCGCGACAAAAGTGGATGTAGATTCACATCACGATGACAAAGAAATAAACGTCGAGTTCCGCACAAAGCCAGTTTTTGGCCGCAGATCAAAATTCAGTGAGTTTCTAAAAGCAATTGCATCTTACCATTGCATATGATAGCGTATAAACTAGTGGTATATATAGTGTCTCTGCGATGCCAACGTTGGCCAACATCTCTTATCAAAGCAGCTTATTCAATGAATACTCTCAGATAAAAAATATCACGCTTGGTGCTTTATTCAAGGGCTAGAAAGATTTTAGCAGCTCATTTTACCCTAGAATCACATTTAGTTTTGCTCTAATAAACGCTCAAAATTTCACGTCTACAAAGCAAGTAAGGAAAGCAGAAATGAAATTAGCGTTTTTTGCTCTTTAGTATGGTATACATCCCATTAAAAAGACCACTTCGACCAAACATGGTTCCCTTGTAAGCATATGGCACTCCTACGGTTGTCAGCCGCATATAGCATCTTTTGGAACAATATGCTTTACGCTGGATCAAAAGTAATGTGGAAAGGTAAGGATTACGCACTCGCCATGCCTAATCCACTTTATCTACTTGATCCTGTTCGACCACTTCTTGGTCAGATCAGTGAATTGAACAATAGAAATGGATGAATAAATCAAGTATGGCGTGTGGCCTAGGGCTCATTGAGCACTCAGCGTTTTTTAACGATTTTTGACATTACCATAGCTACCATAGCGTAACATGAATTCTGAGAAAGATTTGACCCACGCAACGCATATGGCTGCCACAGCTATCCTTTATGTTGGTTCCCCCCCCCCTCCCCCATTGAAATGCCGTTAATTCGCACATGCAAATTAGAAGTTATCTTACTTTTCAAAATTCGAGTCACATAGCAGCCCGTTCGCGGCAAATGTTGTCGGCAAATGGCGGCATTGCAGTGGCACTATGTTTGCTAGATCTATTAGCCTATATGGCGTTGAGCACAACTCATTCGACACTGTTTAGGCGGGCTCTTAGTGTGCTGACTACTCATACTAATCATTTCAGAGAGATTCCGCAAGTAAAATAAGGGAAAAAATCAATCGGTTATCAAACTCCATTACAATTATAACAACGACGGTAGCTACTGTAAATATTATAATATTTGAACAACTTAAATAAATATTGAGGAAACGTTTCGCCTGGTCAGTACTACAGAGCTATTGGTTGACGCCACATGAAACTGTATCGTCTGTGATAATTGCATCGCAGCAAATCAGCATCGGAATGTTCGTCGGCGCTTACAAAAATAGAGTTCCCAGAACTGGGGTTTTCGGGTTTTTATGCGATTTGAAGTTCAGATTTGAAATGAAGGCCATAAAAGGCTCGAGGATGACAAAAACATGAAAGTCGAAAATTTGCGTCCACGCTATCTCTGCAGATACGCATATGGATTGGCACTCGTTATGAGGGAGTCGTCCAAAACTCCTTCACTACTTCGCATCGACCCATGATCAAATTTTAACTGCAACACACATCGAATTGATCGAGGAAATGAGATTCCACTAAGACAATAAGGTTACACTCCTTCTTTTCTCTTGGCTTTCAATCGACTTACAAAGGGTATTCGCGCAATGCTGCCTCAGAGTATATTGCTACACGTTAGTACTCGTATGAATATCATTCAAATCTATTGTAATTCACTAGTGATTCTACAAGTAATATGTAGCAGTAGGATAAAAGTTGTGGAACATACCATCGATCAAGCTTACAGCGGAATAAAGTGTAGATTGTAACGTTTGTGTGGTTTCATCAGTTTAACGTGTCTTTTCAACTCATGTTTCCAGTCGCTTGACTTTGAGTTAAAAAGCGGGAACGAAGGAGTTTGAAGAGGTTCAATAAGCTTAAGCAGGTTATCTTTGATTAAGAATGAAGGAACTGCATTAGAGTACCTACAAGATCTGTTTTATTCGGAGCACTTGATTTGTCGTTTGGGTCTTACTGCAAGCCCAATGTTACTATACAACCTCTTTGTTCACGCTGGATGTTTTTGCTGGACTCCACCGGTGATTGCGTGCGCCAAGGCACGGCTTCTCTCAAATGTTCGCTCACTGCAGAGCCTTTCAAGCAGAGAAGTACATGCTTTTCGATAGAATCATTTTGAGACGAAAATAGGGCTATGTGGCTTATGTCGCTTTTTACGCCTATAAATGCCTTTCGCTCAGCTGCGTGCACAACGGAGAGAGGTCCGGTGGCAAATACTAGTGGGTGACTATGATTGCGATGAGGGGCCCACACTAGGCCATCCATGACACATGTAAGGCACGCGCCAGATCTACTCCATCAACTTTACCCACTGCTATTGGTCAAATAAGTTAACTGACGAATAGCGGAGACCATGCGAACATTCGCTTCTTGGTCAGTTCATCGTGACCAACAACAAAATGGATGAAGGGGATCAAGCTAAAGTGGATTACATTGTATTCATACAGATTCGGAAATTACGGCACAGCTAGCACAGCGCTCGAACTGTGCCTGAGCTTTGATGTACGAACTGCAGCCGCACGCAAGAGGTATTAGGCGAAGGTGACAATTTTTGACCGCTCAACATTTTGTAAATTTTGCTTATTTCATTTCATTCTTGTACCCCGTTTCCTCTCGTAACGAAAAAAAGGTTCCTTGAGGCTTGATTCGAAAAAATGAAAGCTATCTTGTTTTGTGTTTTACGTGAAATCGAACTGAAACGGCTACCATTCCTATTCAATGCTCCAAATTTATAGGTGTCTACTAAAAGTGGAAACGATAACTAAGAATGAACAGTGTGATTTGTAAAAAGAGATGCCAAGAAACGCCCAAGAGAAGTAGTCAAAAACGGAAGCAGTCTGGACTTTTTGAAACATAAAGCAAAGGGCATATCTCTTGCGGAATTCGAAAGCCCGAAAAAATTGTGTACTTACTTGCATTACTACATTACTTGCGAAGTATGTAGGGGAAAATTGCGCGTACAGTGTGCAAGACAATTCAATACAATTCCTGTAGTAGCAAAAGGACCATTCAGTCAAGAAAACTACAAGGATAGGTTATTACACGATGTAAGTGCTCCATGAGGTCTGCGAAAAATGCGCGCGATTTGAAAGCAAACAACATTGACAAACTACTATTTACAGCGTAGAGACAAGCACAAGATATCAAACTTGGATGCAGGCATTGAATATTATTTACGGAAAGATTTGGCAAAAGGTTTTGTAAACTTATGTGAAGAGAGACCTTTTCGAAAGTTACCGTGTCCGTTTGTCCGTTTCCAGGCAACCAGCATACGATCTAAGATCATACGAATCATTCTGTTCTGTGAATTCAAATAACTTTGGGATCTTTCTATCATGGAGGATTCCTCAGCCAAGAATCTGTCCTTGAGCATGGAGACAATTTTATATCTTTGCCTTTCCTTTTTTGACTCAGTTTCTTCATAAAAGAATTGTTAAATATTGCGCTTCAGTGCCAAACTCTTGTGCAGTATTCAGTTCCACTTTGAATTTTCAATCTCATTCCAGGTTTTTTCCTTTTAAACTTCTTCAAAAACCCTGGAAACCGACTCGTGCCGGGCCTTGCATTGACTCTGTGAAAAACAAAAACAAAAGGCATAGAAGTGGAAGATGGAAGGCGGCGGAGGAATGGGCATTCACGCAACACACGCTTAAAAAAAGCCATTCTTGAGAGCTTCAAAGTTGGAGGTTTTTTCATCACAAGAAGAAGCGAGGTGGAAGAAAGAAAAGAGCAGAATCCACAATAAAATCGATTAAAAGCGTAGAATAAATTGTTTTTTCTTGCTACTCAATGCCGCTTGCGAGCGGACGCGGCGCATCCAACACAGTTCCGGCACAGTTCGAGTCAGAGGTGCGATAGGGGGAGCCGGGCTCACCAAAAGTTAAGGTGGTCCCAACTAGGCCGGCCAAAAGTGAAGGTGGTAGTGCCGGACTTTACCTCCCAAAAACGTCGATGGGGGGGGGGGGTAAGCGTTAATGTCGACTGAGTCTATCGTTTCAGGTCGTTGTCGCCAGTGCGCGGAAAATAAGCAAAACAAACGCAAAAAAGATTATTGAAAGCATCTTTTTATGTATACGGCGGCATATAAATTTAAAATGAACGTGTTTTGTAAATGGTGTAGTTGGAAGTAAAAGTTAGCGGGACTATACGGATTTTAGTAAGTAAGGTCATAACGTACTGCGAAAAAAGTAGGTCAATCCAGGGAATAACCGCCGAGAACCAGAATTTTGTATAATAAAATAACGATAAATTATGCGAAATTTTCACTTTTATAAATCTTGCGGTTGAAGATGTCAGCAATTGCGACTTCATAGATTTTGAAGAGTAAATGGTGTTCTGTCAGGCAGTGAGAAAAGCAATTCGACTTGAAAAGTGGTCGCCGAGTGAAAGAATTTTAAAAAATTAGGCCATTTTAGCGTGTTTAATGACAGCTGACAGTTGAACTCATATAAATCTTGAAAGTGAAAGTGTATGATGTTGAGATTTCACAGGTTTTGTAGAGTTAGGTTTGCCTTATCAAAACTTATTTTAGCCGTACCGATCTATTGATGCGCCGAGATCCAGGGTCTTGAAGAAGCAGGTAAAAAAGGGCTTTTTGATCTTCAACAGCTCATAACTTCTTCAGAACTGCATATCATGTTGAGACTTCATAGGTTAGATTCTTCTCAACAAGAGCTTTCAGATGATATAAAATATATGTGGAGGTTTGGGATCTCCTACGACTTATGCTCGGGGGAGGAGACTATTCACCACTATTCACCACCTGGCGGCCTCCATCCAATACATTAAAGTGGGCTGGGGGAGACTTTGTGATGAAAAGTCTCCTCCCCCGGGCATAAGTCGTAGGAGATCCCAAACCCCCACATATCATATATCATTTGAAAGAGAGATGAATCTAACCTATGAAGTCTCAACATGATATGCAGTTCTGAAGAAGTTATGAGCTGTTGAAGTTCAAAAAGCGCTTTTTTACCTGCTTCTTCAAGACCCTGGATCTCGGCGCATCAATAGATCGGTACGGCTAAGATAAGTTTTGATAAGGCAAACCTAACTCTACAAAACCTGTGAGGTCTTAACATCGTACACTTTCACTTTCAAGATTCATATGAGTTCAACTGTCAGCTGTCATTAAACTATTAGGTTGTAACAGAATTAGTGCAGGTTTTTCACATCTCTTTTTCAAAGTGTTGGTTCAAAAAAAATTGCATTGTTTTAGGAAACTATGCATATCTACTGAATGCACTATTCTTTTAGTTTCTTAGGCACGCTTTCGTTTCAGGAGAACTGTGTTTATTTCGAAATTACGCGCTTTTGAAATCAAGAAACTAAACCTTGAAATTTGTTCTCTTTACACTCTTTGCTTTAAATCTACCGCGAAAAATCGGAATTTTTTGCAAACTGGCCTAATGTTTATATGTGATCTGTGCTACAAAATGCACACTGAAGCAAATTTCTCGAAAGTTTCCAGACTGAGAAATTTTATTTCAAACCCAAACAACCGCTGCTATCATTCTGCGACGTATAACAATCCTAAATGCGAAGCAATTGCGGAGCTTTTGCGGTGAGCAGAAAGAATAGACATAGGACACATGATAGCAGAAAAATGAGAGCTGCTCTTTTCTTTGGCGGCGAGAAAATTCAAAAAAACAGCAAAAAGCACTTTTTTGTCTTTTAAGAGCATTTGTGAAATTGAGTGATTACAAATTTTTTGCAATATCTTCTAGCAAAATTTTTTTTGTAGAAATCAACTTTAACACTGCTGCACAACCGACTATTATCTGCAAAGTGAATGAAGTTTGCACCATTCTACTACATTGTATGGTGAGTTATGGTCGCTCAAATTGAAGGTTTTTCTAAGAAACCTTTGGCAGTCTTCGGGCTGTGAAAATTTTCTCAGTAAAGCTACAACGATAAGATAGTGCTTGTCGCATTGCCAAAGCTTTGCTGATTGCAGTAGTTTTTGTTGGAAACGGATTGACCATTTCTGTAAAAAGTTATAGTAATCCAACCTCAAAATTCGGAAAACCTGCATTAATTCTGT